ACAGACCGTCAGCCAATGTCACCCTGGCCGTGGTGGGTGGCTGAGGTGTTGCCTGGTGGGTGGAGGGGAGTGTGGGAACCTAGAAGTTCAGCAGCGAGTTCTCCCGACCCCTTGCCCACCCACACCTGCACCTGAACCTCCTCCCACAGGACCAGAATCTTACTTTTCAGTTTTCTCTGCTCCCTTGGGCATTTTCAGCCACTCCTTGTCTGCTGGTTCATGGCCAAACTATAAAACTTAAGTCCATCTGGCATTTAGACAGTAGCAGCACCACCCACAGACTGTCCACTGCTGTGACTCTCCTCTTTTCTCACCCAGGACCCCTGCAGGAAGGCTTGCATTCACCATCTGCTCCTCCTCACCTCCCCACTCACACTCCAGTGCTCCCCCGAACCTCCACTTTCCTCTCAGAGGTCCAGGCACAGCTCACCCGTGACCACCACCGCCAAACCCCCAGGAGATGCTCTTCAACCAGGTGCCCAAACTTCTCTAGGAGCACAGAACACTTTGATCCTTCAGTCTATTCTTCCTGGGACATTCTTCTCCTTTGGCTTAGTTCTTAAAGATCTAGGTTCTCTTCCCATTGCTCTGACCAGCCTCCTTAGCAGGCTGCTTTTTCTCTGCCCACACCTTGAATGTTGATGTGCCCTCACAAGGCTATGCCTGACGCTCTTAATCTTGACCTTCTTGACCTTATGCTTGACCTTCTTAATCTTGAGTCCAGGACCTCATGATGTCCATGGTTCTAGAACTGGAACCCATATGAAGATTTCTGAGTGTATTCTTTTTCTGGCAAGGGGGCCAAAGCTTTTAGTAGATTCCCCAAGAATGCTGTGACCCATACAAAGGGAAGGCCATTGTCCTAGGCCATTTCACCTGCTGGCTTCGTCGATGCTCCACAGGCTGAAGACTTGTGAATCTTCATCGCCAGCCCCTGTGTCTTTCGTAAGCCCCAGCCCTGTGTGTCCAACCATGATGTCTCTCAGTTACTTCATTGTCTTTTCCTGGATCCTTTCTCTCTCTTCCCAGAAGTCCCAAGCTAGAAAACGATCTCTTTTCCTCACCCCATATTCAACTGGTGGCCAAGCCCATTAGCTCCACGCCTTCTCATCACTCCTGGGCCCATATCTTTCCACCACCTCCACCTTTCTGTCTTGCTTTAAGTCAGGAGTTGACAAGCCTTTTCTACAAAAGGCCAAACAGTAAACATTTTAGGCTTTGTGGGCCATGTGATCTGTGTCACAACCAGTCAGCGCCATCGCTGTAGCGTAAAGGCTACATAATATATACATAAATAAACGTGGCTTGGTTTCCATGAGCTATCTATGGATGCTGAAATTTGAATTTTATATAATATATATTTTATGCTATTATCACAATATATATTTTTTCAACCATTTTGGACATGGCAGATGGGGCCTGAGCACTCAGCCATCTGGACTTCATTCAGAAAACTTCCTTCTGCCTGAGTCAGGACCCTTCTCCTCCTCCCACATGCACACACCACCAGCACTCTGTGCCCGGGCAGGAAGCTGGGAATGTAGTGACCCCAAGAAGGGTCACCTGCTAGGATGAGACGGAATGGGCTCTAAAGCTCTAGTCTCTCCAAATGCCCGGCGGTAGAGGATGGGTCCCCTAAATGGGGGCATTTCCCCAGCAGAGCGCTATGCAGTCTTTGAGAGAGTGAGGGCACCCTTGAAAGGGCTCATATGGAACAGTCTTCAAGATAGATCCCAAAGTGAAAAAGAGCAAGGTGCAGAACTTTCCTTGGGTGAAGGAGAGATTAAATATATGTATTTGCTTGGAGGCTGTAATGGGCTGAATTGTATCTCCCAGAAAGATAGGCCCCCATCCCAACCCTCAGTACGGATGGCTGAGGCCGTGTTTAGAAGTAGGGTCTTTGCAAATGTGAACAAGAGAAGGGTGTTGAGATGAGGCCGTCCCGGACTTAGGGTGCGCCTCAAATCCAGCTGTAACATAAGAGAAAGGGAAGGACTATTTGATCCACAGAAAAATGGCCACTTGGAAATGGAGGCAGAGGTTGGAATTATGCTGCCAGGAGCCCAAGGACGCCTGGGGCTACCAGAGGCTGGAAGAGGCAAGGAAGGATCTTTCCCAGAGCCTTCGGAGGGAGCACGGCCTGCTGGGACCTTGGTTTGGGACTTCTGGCCTCCAAAACTAGGAGAGAATAAATCTGTGTTATTTTAAGCTGCCTAGTTTGTGGTCATTTGCTGTGGCAGCCACAGAAAACGAACAGAGATGCCAACTGATAAGAATATTTGGGGAATGAATTTAGAGTTTATTGAATACAAGATCAATATGAAAAAAACCAATAATCAATAGTATGTCTGTATACCACTCGTACATAATTAGAAAATATTTAAGCTATCCCATTTATAACAGGGTCAAATCTATTAAATACGTAGGAATAAATGTAACAAAAGCTACGCAAGACTTTTACCCCCCAAATTTTAAATGTTAAGAAAAATTAAAGAAGGTTTAAATACATGAAGGTATATGTTTTGTTTATGAATTGGAAGGTTCAATAATGTAAAGATACCAGTTCTTTCCAAAATGGATTGATACAATCGCAATGCATAGTAGATGGAACCACAATCAAAATCTAGGTAGATAATTTGTGAAAAGTGAGAAGCTGACTCGAAAATGTGTCTGGAAGTTCAAAAGTTCAAGAAGAGCCAACTCTACCTCCTGATAGACAACAGAGCTGAAGCACTTACCGTACCTGGAAATCAAGATTTATTATAGAGCGACAGTCATGAAGGTAGTGTGTTATTGGCAAAAAGATGAGATGAACAGACCCATGGAACAGAACAGGACATCCAGGAACAGAGTCGCATGTGCATGAACACCTTTGCTTTTGTTACACAATGAAAGATTCGTGCTGTAGAGCAGGGGAAGGAGGGGATCTCTGGTAAATGGCTCTAAGCCAGTTGACTATAAGGAAAAATATGTCTCTTGCCAGCCACCTCACATCATACATAGAAATCAATTCCAGATCAACTGTAGCTCTAAATGGGAACAACAAAAGCATAACGATTCTGGAAATACAATAGAGGAAGGTCTTAATAACATAGGCATAAGCCAAGATTTCTTAAGGACATATAAAACAATTACCATGGTGGAAAATATTGATTTATTGGATTTCACCAAAATCAAGAACTTGTAGTCATCAAAAGACACTATTAAAAGAGTGGAGTGGGGCAGGGGCCGGGGGGGGCGGGTGCCTGGCTGTCTCAGTGGGTTAAGCATCTGCCTTCAGCTCAGGTCATGATCTCAGGGTCCTGGGATCGAGCCCTGCATCGGGCTCCCTGCTCAGCGTGGAGTCTGCTTCTCCCTCTGCCTCTCCCCGCTGCTTGTGCATTCTCTCTTTCTCTCTCTCTCTCAAATGAATGGATAAAATCTTAAAAAAAAAAAAAAAAGAGTGGAACAGGGAGCCATAGAAAGGGATAAGACATCTGCATTCTACCCACCTGACAAAAGACGTATATCTAGACTATATAAAAAAAAAAATCCTCTAATTAAACAACAGCAAAAAGATAGCCCAAAGGGAAATAATGGTTAAGGAGTTTGAACAGGCACCTCATAAAAGAGGCTCCCCTAATGAGCAATTTAGATGATAAATAGATAGATGATAGATGGATAGATAAAAGCTTGTGATAATTTGATATGGCAAATAATACAGATGCCTGGAACATTTTTGGAAATGAATTTAGATCTTAAATTTCCTTAAATCATGGATCTGCTATGGATCAGGCCTTGCTGAGTGCCCAGCCAGAAGATTTTAATTATATCAAAAAATAAACTCAGTGAAAATAAAAAGGTGCTCAGTCTCATTAGTCATCACAGAAATGCAAATTCAGGCCATAAGAAAACCCATACACACCCATCAGAAAAACTAAAACGAAGAAGCTTGACAACACCATTTGGGAGATGCTGAACTCTCGATACCCCGCTGGTAGAAGGTATAACAGTGCTTTGGAAAACCTTGGCAGCATCTCCTAAAGATGTATCTGTCCATACATTTATCCAAAGACGTGAACAAGAGTTCTTGGAGATGCGTTATTAGTAATAGCTCAAAAGTGAGATAGCCCAAACATCCATCTGCAAGACAATGCATACAGGAAGCGTGATACATTCACACAACGGAACACTAAGTAACAATGAATGAATGCATCACAACTACAAGCAGAAACACAATATAAGGGACAGAAGCCAGCCTCAAAATAAAACAAAGCTATTACGTTTAAGCAGCAACCTACAAGGATAGAATTCAGGGTAGAAGAAAGGACCCAGCAATCGGGAGGAAGCCTCAGATCCTGATAAATTTCCATTTCTTGACATGGGTTGTGGTTACACTAGCGTGTTCATTTGTGATGATTCACTGAATTGTGTGTTTATGATGCTCGTGTGTGTGATTTAAACTGTCATGTATGTATGTTAGATATCAATGAAAATTTTCTTCTAAAAACCTTGAGGGAAGACCAGAAAAGCTCAGACATCTGCCCCCCCCAAAAAGCCCTCAATGTTCTGAAAACAATATTAATTGCTGAGTAGGTACAAATTAAAGGGCAGTACAATTTATTTATTTGACAGAGAGGGAGAGAGAGAGTGAGAAAGCAAGCACAAGCAAGTGGAGAAGGAAGAAGCCGGAGAAGCAGGCTCCCCACTGAGCAGGGAGCCGGGCGTGTAGCTCGATCCTAGGACCCTGAGACCATGACCCAAGCGGAAAGCAGATGCCCAGGCGCCCCAGAGCAATACAATTTTTAAAAAGAAATTCTAATGACACCTTTTTCTTCCCCTTATTCCTCTTGCTGCATAACTTTGGGTAGTAGAAACAGCTCCCACGGGGAGAGAGCCGGGGTAGGAGGCGAGTGGGAAAAGGGTAGAGGGGACGATGGGGGGAGCAGATGAGCAGAGCTATTGGAATCAGAAAAAAAACACTGCTTGAAACCTTTTCAAATTCCACATTCATTTGGCTACCAGGCAGCATTTTAAAAAACAAATGTTCGGGCCTTTTTTGAGGCGGCCGGGAAGATGGCGGACATTCAGACTGAGCGCACCTACCAAAAGCAGCCAACCATCTTTCAAAATAAGAAGAGGGTCCTGCTTGGAGAAACTGGCAAGGAGAAGCTCCTGCGATACTACAAAAATATCGGTCTGGGCTTCAAGACGCTCAAGGAGGCCATTGAGGGCACCTACGTTGACAAGAAATGCCCCTTTACTGGTAATGTCTCCATCCGAGGGCGGATTCTTTCTGGTGTGGTGACCAAGATGAAGATGCAGAGGACCACTGTCATCCGCCGAGACTACCTCCACTACATCCGAAAGTACAACCGCGTTGAGAAGCGCCACAAGAACATGTCTGTGCACCTGTCCCCCTGCTTCAGGGATGTCCAGATCGGCGACATCGTCACAGTGGGTGAGTGCCGGCCCTTGAGCAAGACTCTGCGTTTCAACGTGCTCAAAGTCACAAAGGCTGCTGGCACCAAGAAACAGTTCCAGAAGTTCTGAGACATCTGTCCACACCCCTGAAGAAAATAAAGTTATTTTCCCAGCCAGGAAAAAAAAAAACAAAAAACAAATGTTCGGGGTTCGAGGGTTGCTAGCCACTCACGGTATAGTATGGATCCACAGGTTTATCTCCCTCATGTGCCCACTGCCCTGATGAGTATTCAGAAACGGGGCCATTTGAGTGGAAGGAAGAGAAGAAAGTGCTATTTTTAAATCAGCCCAGTAGGGAAAGGTCAGGCTTCGATGCCTAATTGTTACAGGCCACCCGAGGGACAGCAGGGAAGTCCCAGGCACATATAGGGACAAGGGGAAAAGGGTATTTGAGAGCCCAGAAAATAGAACGCCCAGTTTCCCAGGAATGCCAAGTGTCCACCCCACCAATGAGTGTTTTCATTCTTCCTGACCATGCTCCCCCCCCTTGGAGGTCACTAGAGATCTGGCTTCATTCACAGTCTCCCCTGAGCTGGTGGGATCTGCCTCTACACGTGACCTACGTGATGCCCAGCCCAGCTCTGCCCCCTGAAATCTGTCAAACCTGCCAGCTCAGCCCTGCCCCAGTCTGGAGGGCCTGAGGGAGGGCAAATGGAGAAGCCCAGGTCCCACGGCTCCCAGAATCATGGGGACCTGGGGGCCCACACCAGCTTCCCTGTGGCTGCCATTACCCCCTGCAGACCTGCCCCAGCTCCCTGAGCACCCAGCCCATGCACCGCCATCACACTGCTCCACCAGCCCTCACCAGGCTGCTGCCCCTCGTGCACCCCCACCAGCCGGCTCGATCCCCGCTCACCTGCCTCAGCTTGGATGGCTCCTCTCACCACTCAGGAGCTCCAGTGGGTCCCGAGGAAAATCCCGGCTGCTGGCAAACAGGCACATGGGATCTGCTCGGCGCAGGCACTGTCCTAAACACGAACCCAGTGTCACGGCGTGACCTCCCGCCACCTGTGCGCGGCAGAGACTACTGATGAGCCGTCGTCGTACTCCACATTCGAGAAGCGGAGGCACAGAGAGGTTAGGTGACCTGGCCAGGGGCACACGGCCTGCACGGGGTGGTAGCGGGAGTGAGACTTTTGCCCACCGGGCTGGGCGGGGTCAGCAGCGAGGATGCTGGTCCGGCCACGGAACAGCCCCGACGTGGGAGGGATGGCACACGGCAGAAAGGCAAGAGGCTTCCCCTCTGGCTGCCCTGCCCGCCGCCGGGGCGCGGCCTCCCGGTCCCGGGCTGGGGCTCCAGGGCCAGCCGCGGGGTGGGGGGGGAGAGCGGCCTCGGCCCCAGAGCCCCTGGCCCGCAGCCTCTGTCGTGGGTCAGGCCCGGCCGAGGCCACGGCCAGGAGGTTCCTCCCGAGCGGGGAGCTGTCAAAGCTGGCCTTGAGCTCTCGTCATCCCCGTCCTCTCCTTCCCCCTCCCCGCCCCCCCACCCCCTGACCTGCCCCCTGCCTACCATGTGAGCTCGGGGCGCCCCCAGGCCTCACTCGGGGCCGGCTCTGTCCGCTGAACAGACTCCCGTGGGCTGGAGTCCACGCCGGGCCCTTCTCTGGCCTGCTCTGTGCCCCCGGCCGCGGACTCCGCGGGCCCCGGCTGTGGTGCGGCTCCTCGGGCGGTAAATGGGGGTGCAGGAGGGGAAAGGGTGGGGGCCGGCTTCGGGGTCCCCCCCCAGCTTTGCCTCCATGAGGACAGACCCCCCCCCCGCCCTGGGCCCAGATGACACCGCGTCCCCCTCCGGCCTCCAGGCCCAGGGCTGGGAGCAGCTTCCCGGGTGGGTGCGTGGCTAGCGGCTGGGGGTCTCCCCAGACTCGCTCCTCCCCGCCGCCCCGCAACTCCAGACCCAGCCTTCAGCTCACTCTCCTTCTGCAGCATGTGGGGTGAGAGGTTTCTTGTTGGAATCTTGTCCGATATTTCAGCCACCTCTCCTTTTCTGTCTATATGAGTTAGGTACCTTCTGTGTCAGCATGATTTTTCTGTCTTTGAATTAAAAGAAAAAATGTTGCAGCTTTATTTTATACTATCCTCTGTTCCTGGCGTCCAACTAAGAGCGCCTTGAGTCTGCTTTGTCACTTGTGTACGTGTGTGTTTGCCATCAAGGGAAAAATTTTTAACTGGATAAAATTTAGAAACATCTAAACAACACACAAGATCTTAAAACAAGGAAGTTTAAAAAAAATACCAAAATCTAAAAATCGGTTGCAAAATGTCAACTTTCCTAAACTAATCTCTGAATTTAGGGATAATCTAATACAAATATTATGAAGTTGGAATGGGGTGCTGTTGTTTAGGGTTTTTTAAATGTTTTTTTAAAAATGAGTCAAAATTTATTTGGGTAAATGTTAAATTACTCCTACAGACTTTTCCTACACACTCATGTGTTTCAAAATGGCCACAGAAATGCTCCTGCCAAACAGAAATGGTCTTTATTGCTGTAACTGCATCCAGGCCGGATTTCAGTGATGGTTCCAGTCATGGTGGCCCTCTTATTTAGGTCAAAATACAAGAATTATATCATCTAATTCTAGAGGATTGGATGATGTGGAGACACAGAACACGTTCAGATGGTCGTGACTGTTGGAGACCCCGCTGGTGTGAGCCGAGCCACACCTGCAGGCGACCCTGGATCCCGGAGCCCTCACGGTGTGCTCTTCCTCCTTCCTGGGGGGCCCGAGGACCCCGGGGACCCCCTGACGCTTCAGGGTCTCCTTGGGCTGCCTGGAACAGCGGCAACAAGAGAGCCCCTGGGGAAGGGCCAGCCGTTGGACTTGATGTTGGCCAGCAGGTGCCTGTGGCGATCACTTCTCAGCGCCTCGAGCTTTCTCTTGGTCGGCACAGTTGCCACCCAGCCTTCTGGAATTCTCTTCTCATGAAGAGGACCTCACGGGGACAGTGGCAGGGGCTTCTCTCCAACTCTTTGCCCAGGTCTTTGGCCGTCTTCCCGGAGGGGGGGGGGTCACGAATCTGACGCGTGTAGCTGGTGTTCCTGCCCAGGCTGGCCGGATTCTTCTCGATTGCCAAGCGGGGCATTTCCTCCTCAGACAATTTTCTCTGAAGTTGCAAGATGTGCTCTTGATGTAATTCAGGCAGAATTTGAAGCTTCAGCTTCAGCCACTGAATCTCACTTTCAAGCTGGGAATTTTTACGCTGCAAAGGTGCTTCCTCCTCGGTTTGGAGATCTGTTATTTGTCTTGAAGCTCTTCGTTCCTTTGCCTTTCTTCCCACGCTCGTCTGGCTAGTTCTTGATGTTCCTGGTCGGAACTCTGAAGGGACACACGGAAGCCAGCCTCATCAGTGACACCCTTCAGATGCCCGATGGATGGAGTGATCCCCATTTCCTGCTCCCCTTTTGTGCTGGACTCCCCGGTTCCCGGCACCCCTGTGATCTGCAGGGAGGTCAGCGGGGGGATGGCCTGGGTCCTGCCCTGGACGGGGAACTAGCAAACTTGATCTTTCGGGACCGGCTCCATGTGTGCCTTCAACGGCTCCAGCCTTTCTTCCCCCTCCTTTCCCCATCCTATCTGCCTCCATCTCGAAATTTCTTGATTGAGCAGTTCTGGACTTTCTGGAAAATGAGTGTTTTTACTCAAATGATCCATAATTTTCTTCCAAAGTTGTTCTCCATCCTTCTCTGATACTCTTAAGATGGGTTTTTCCCCAGTGACCTGGGGAAGGTCGGGAGGCTGGCTCTTCGGTGCCTTCTTTAGAAAGTTGACAGTGTTCCAAAGCACCAGCCTGCTCAGGTCTGTGCTCATTGCTGACAAGCACAGGGCTTGTAACAGGGAAGGACTGGCCACGACCCCGGGCGGCCTGAGGGCGGCCTCGGCTTGTGTGGTTGGGCCACTCTCCTCACGGCCTGCTCCACACACTTCGTGGCGGGCAGAGCCCCCGTGGCCCAGCGCCTTCGTGCTTCTTCGAGTGAGTTGTCTCTTCACTAGGAAAACCAGCAGCACAGTCCATACCAGCACCGCCCAGGGCAACACGGAGAGACTTCCAGAAGTCACCAGCAGCGCCCCCCACAGGTGCTCCAACACCAGCTGGCAAGGGGATCCGGAGGCCGACGGGGGGCCCTCCATGGCTGCGTCGGGCTCCACAGCTCTGCCTCTGAGGGCCAGTGTCCTGTGGCCCCAACTGACCACTCAGAGCCCTGTGGAGAGTTCCACCTCTGAGGTCAACCAGTGCCCAGCAACCAGGGCAGAGCAGTTGGGCTGGGGGAGGGGAGGCCAGCCGGGTTCCAGAAAACAGTTCTCCCTGACTTTGCTGTGAAGTAGAAAGTTGTCTCAATCACACAAGCCCTGGGGGAAGTGGGAAGGGCTGATCCCAGCCTGAAGCTCGGCCATTCTAGACCCACCTGGCCCTACAGCAAACCTAGGTGGTCAAGGTAGGGTCAGGCCATGTCCCTTTCTGTGCACAAGAGAAGTCAGGGCAGAATGGTGGAGCCCTGTCCCTGGACGGGGCTCCTTCTCCTGGTTTAAATTTTCCTTCTGCTTTAGGATCTCGTGGCGCTATCCACAAAGGTCCCAGGATCTTCTTCGTCTGAGGCTCCTTCTCTCTTTGCAGATGATCTCTGTGGGCAGGCAGGGATCCAGGACTGAAAGGTGTCCCCAACTTAGAGACCCTTAACTAAGAGACCAGAATTCCCATCCTAACAACTCAGGAGAAATCAATGGAATCTGCTTGCATCTAACAATTTCATGGGTTTTGTGTGAAGCTAGCATGTTCCTGTGCAATCCTGGGGTTCCTGGAAGGCGGTGACTCTGCCCCAGCAGGGACACAGCAACCCAGGCTCCTTCCCTCGTGTGGCCCTCCATCTTCCCAAGGTCGCCCCAAGGACTGTCTCCACGTTATCTTCAGAAGCGGGCCTCTGCGGAGGAGGTCAGTCTTCCATCCAGCTCAATTGCCACCACTTTTTCATTAAACCACATCTTGCTCTTCTAGCAACTCCCTGGCAGACCCAGGCTCAGAGCTTCTGTGATATCCATTGGGACTCTGTCATGAGCAACTTGTCCCCAGTCCCTTTACCCAAGAGGAAAACAAGGTAACTGTCAGCCAAAGGCAGTCTGGGGCTCCCAAGGGCTGCCAGGGCCAAGGTGTG